TGTTCTCATCATTGTCCACACGTGGTATGTTCTTATTCATAAGATCTAGAATAAACTACATCTAAACATGTGGTTTTCCCCCACCAACCCACTTCTGTTTTATCCAACCCAAGGTAACCACTCACTTGAGCCTTTGTTTTCATTGTGAATCTTTTATCATTCTCTTGCTTTCATTTTTTGTATAATTCTGAAGAGTGTGTGCCTGCATGTACCCGGGTAGGTATTTAATTATTCTAAACTTTATAAAGAGCTTCAGGCTGTATGTAATTTGAGAAGACTCAAGGTTTTCACTTATTGCTATGACCCATCAATTTTATTGCATACCATATAATCCAAGTTAATCTGTTTGTGTGTGTATGTGTGTGTGTGTGCAAGCACGCATGCATGTGTGTGCTTAGTCATGTCCAACTCTTGCAACCGCATGAACTATAGCCCACCAGGCTCTTCTGTCCATGGAATTTTTCAGGCAAGAACACCCAAGTGGGTTGCCATTTCCTACTCCAGGGGATTTTCCCCATCCAGGTAGGGCAGAAATTTTTGTCTGTTTTATTCACCGATGTATCCAAGTGACTGGAATAATGTCTGACATGAAACAGGTGTTCAGTAAATATTTGTTGAATGAATAACTGTAACAAAAATTTTCAAATGACATTAGAATGGTCATACTGATTTGCATTTGCATAACCTAAATGTACTTCTCTTAATTCATTTTATTATATTTTTCATTTTAAAATAAAACATGTTTTTTAGAGTACATTTGGGCAATTTTGACTACTACAAACTTCTGAAACTGAAGAAATACATTCAAATTCAGAAATTGACCACATTAAATCATTAAATCGAATCCATGATAACTGGGAAGAAAACAAAGCCACCACTTGAAAACCAGTTACATTTATATAGCTACCCCATCAGATCTAGGCATAGAGATAAGCAGATAAACATCTGGAAGTAAATGTACAGGTATTAGGCTTCCTGTATAGGTGGCTCAGTGGTAAAGAATCTGCCAGCAATGTAGGAGTCAGAGGAGACTCAGGTTTGATCCCTGGGTTGGGAAGACTCCCTGGAAGGGGATGGCAAGCCACTCCAATATTCTTGCCTGTAGAATTCCATGGACAGAGGAGTCTGGCAGGCTACAGTCCATAGCAAAGCAAACTGAAGCAACTTAGCATGCATACAGATATTAATTATAAGTTAATCTGTTCAGTGGCCTACTTCCTGTTCACTCTTAATCAGCCTCAGTGTGAAAAGGGTAACAAATCGAAATCTATGTCTGATAAAATATGTCACGCCATCTCACAAGGTAAATTTATCAAAAAGATTTATTTAGATTGGATTTGCAGGAGTGATTACCAGGTGGTCCGGAATGGCATATGGAAATCAGACTGTCAGCAAGGCCCCAAATTATAAATTACATCATGCCTACAGCAAAATTTTGGAGATAAATCACAGTGAGAAATGTCACAATAAATCAGTGAACTCCTTTGAACTAAAAGTCACTTATCTGATTTTGCAAATGTGAGACTCTGCACTTCCGGTGCAGGGGGGGGTGTGAGTTTGATCCTTGGTTAGGGAACCAAGATCCCACATGCCTTGTGGCAAAAAAAAAAAAAAAAAACACAAATTAGGATGTAACAGGAGTGAATCAAGTGTTTCTCTTCTAACATACTTAAATAACAGAGGGCTAGGTTTAGGATTATATTCAGCAATAAGCACAGAAAACCAACAGTGACTTAAACATATAAAGATTTGTTTGTCTCAAGAAACAAGAGAGCTGAATGTATGCAAGCCAGAGTTTAAAAAGTGGCTCAAAAAGCTTTTAGTGAAAGATATTTCCATCTTTTCCTTACATGTCATTAGTAAATATATCTTCATCTTCATACTTTTGATCTCATGTTACAAAATGGCTTCTCTACCCCTAATCTCATATCCAGTCTAGAGTTTCCCAGATGGCTCAGTGGTAAAGAACTTCCCCACAATTCGAGAGACACAGATTCAATACCTGGGTTGGGAAGATCCCCTAGAGAAGGAAATGGCAACCTGCTCCAGTATTCAACCCTGGAAAATCCCATGGATAGAGGAGCCCAGTGGGCTACAGTCCACGGGGTTCCAAAGAGTTGGACATGACTGAGCACATGTGCACATCTTCCTGATGAAAAGCTTTTCCCTCCATGAGTATCTTTCAAGACACAATGAGAACATTTTTTGGTGTTATACCAAAAAAAATGTGTTTTGTTTTTTTTTAATGTGGGTCATCTTTAAAGTCTTTGTTAAATCCATCACAATATTGTTTCTGTTGTTTTTATGTTTTGGTCTTTTGGCTCCAAGGGATGTAGGATCTTAGCTCCTCGACCAGAATGGAACCTGCATCCCCTGCATTGGAAGGTGAAGTCTCAACCACTGGATTGCCAGGGAAGTCCCACAGAAATGTTTTACTCAGCTGTTCTTTCAACTGTCATCCATGCAAAAGTGACCTGGTCTGAACCAAAGCAAAAATTGGCTAACTTTCTTCTCCCAAGTCTAGACATGAGAATTTCTTTTTCACTTTTAGCTTGATGCCTTGGGTAAGCACATTCAGTGTGAATCAGTGTGGTTACAACATATGAATTTTGTTAAAGATCATTTCAACAGCTAAAATTCTAAAGTTTCATAAAAACCTTCAAATAAGTTCAAGACTAGAGAAATTTACTGAAACTTCATATCAATCTGCTTTCAGTTAAAGTAATGAATGGATAATGAAGTATTTGACGTATTATTTAAACAACAAAGGTTTGTTTTTCTTTTCAAAATAGATAAAATTAAGAGATACAACCTTATTTATAATTTCAGTATTTAATAGTTACTAAAGTAAATTAGTCATTCACCTGATAGCATAATTTAATATGTTTTCCTCATTTGGAGGGGAAAATATACTTTACTTTCTTTATATCTTCACTTATTTTATGGGAAATACTAGTGATTTCAATAAACAAGTATAAACACAAAGTATTGTTTGTTTCTAGTCCCTTAGTATAACAACTGGCTATGGAACCTATGTCATTATTTTTGAGAAAGCAATCAGAATTTCTCTTATCTTCAATGTAGCTGATGTTAAAATGTTGCATTGCATGCTAAAATGGAAAATAATTAAGTAATAATTCCTTCAAGTGTTGTCCAGTAATTTTATATGTGAAAAGCATAGAAATTAAATAAATTATATGGAACTTAAGTAGAAATATTTTATTTGAAAATAGCATGACCGATATAAGGTTGAATCCTAATATTTTTTATTTATAATATAGGCAAAATATATGCAAATTGTGTTATAATACCATTTCACATTCTGAAAGACATCTTTTAGAAGTTTTAATCATGACTCAAAAAGTTTAAAAGACTAAAGAGAATTCCCAATTTTCTATAGTAGAAAAAAAGATACGGACAATAAAAAGGAATTTATATTTGACTCTGGAATTGCCTTGTGTGCTTATAATTTAAGAATGTTTTCTGGCGATAAGAACTGAAATTGAAACTAAACCATGAGCTCCATCATACAGCCTGAGAAGAGCTTGGAAATTTTATAAACCAATCACATAGAGTTGGAAATCAAAAGAGAAAGGCTACCTATTTTAGTAAAGAGCCTGACCTCACTTTCAATGTTGAGCTGTTGACAGCTATCAACAGCCATGCCTTACCTTTTCCCCTTCTGCCCTACAGAGAGGCAAGCTAGGGAAGTTGGGCGTGCCCATCTTTGGCACTCGGAAGAATTTTTTTATATGTTTTTTTAATTGAATTTTTTTTTTAAATGTTATTTTGGTCCTTAGCAGTCCAGTGGTTAAGGCTCTGTAGCACTTTCACTGCAGAGGGCGATGTTCTACTCCTGGTCAGGGAACAAGATTCACAGCCAAAAAAAAAAGTCAAACAGCTTCACTTGTTTATCTATGACATCAGTAATGTCTTTGCTGAATTGCATAGTAGTTTTTGAACACTGAAATAATATTTCCTCCTATCTTTGTGCTATTCACAATGTGCCACAAATGATCACTCAGAAACAATATTAATAAAATTTTCATTTAATGCATTATAAAGCTCATTATTTTCTAATTATCAGTATTTTATCATTATCTACTCTTGAGGTTATTCCTATCTATTTTATCCATATGGTGAAGATATCATATAATGTTGTACTACAGCACACTTTTTCCCAATGACTTGTTCAGTGATATCATGTCGATTTACACCCTGTAAAATGGCAAATGATCCAAATCAGGCATTATTTTATTGTATTGCTTGGACTTAAGAAAGCGATGGAAAAAAGTACTAGTGAAAGTGAAGTCGCTCAGTCGTGTCCGACTCTTTGTGACCCCAGGCTTCTCCGTCCATGGGATTTTCCAGGAAGAGTACGGGAGTACTGGAGTAGGTTTCCATTTCCTTTTCCCTGAGATCTTCCCATCCCAGGGATTGAACCCGGGTCTCCCGCATTGTAGGCAAACGCTTTTACCGTCTGGGCCAATAGGGAAGTGAGGGTATACTTTACTTCAGGCAGGAAGGAACAGTGAGAACTTCAGAGCAGTTCATTTATTCGAAGAACGCTCTGACCCGCGAGAACACTGGTCTATAGACAATAGGTCAAGATCTACTTTACTTTGGTTTTTGTTTTATCTTTATCAAATCTACACATAAACGCTACATTCAGCTGCAGTGACAGGAAGGCAAAGCCCTGCAATCGATGAGCTGCCTCTTGGCTTGGGCAAGAAACCACAGCCGATACGTGAAGAGACTAAGTGTGAGCTCCCCGAGCACCCGTAGCTCGACTTTTCAAAGAGTGAGGAAAGGCTAAGTGTGAATTCCCAGGTACCCGTAGTTCGGCTTCCCAAGAACGCGGAGAGACTAAGTGTGAGTTCCCAGGCACCCGTAGCTCGGATTCTCAGGAGCATGCGCCGGAAGTGGGCGTCCTGCGCCCTCCCTCTCCGGGAATGCAAACATTTCCGGCTTCCCACTGTAGTCCTCAAACCCCTAAGAGCATGGAGGCTCCGTGCTCGCCCCCGACAGCGGGGAAGTTCGTGGTGGTCGGCGGTGGCATCGCGGGTGTCACGTGTGCGGAGCAGGTAAGGCGGGCGCGCAAGCGATTTCGTCTCTCCGAGACCCTGGAGGCGCTGGCGCTTGAGGCTCCCGCCCGCCCCCTTTCCCTAGTGTTTCTTCCAGGTTGTTTTCACTGTTTCCTTTTTCCCTACGCACCCCTTCCGTCTCCTAGGTATTAGAGACTCTGTCTTGGCTCACAGAGGATGTCCTTAGTACCTCGCAGGCTTCGCCTTCGATGCAGGGACGAGGAATGGCGAGCAAGTCATTAGGGGAAACCCAAAGCCGACTGAACCCGGTTGTGGTCCTGGTGATGCCAGAGCAGATGCGGGGAGAAGAGGGATGGGTTACGACTAGGAAGTACTTGGCCAGAAAATCCCGCCTTCTTTCATAATGGCCTGATTGAATCCAGCTTCCTCATAGGTGCCCACGTCTTCAGTGCATCGTAACTAGATTATAAAGAAGTTCTTACGTAAATTTTGTAGACTTTGGACTCCCAAGATAGAAGAGGTGTCATCTCCAGTAATATCTTGTAAAACAGCCGACATGGGCTTAAGTGAAGCGAGGTGATGCTTTTCTGATTTATAGTATACAATCAGACAACATATATACGTATGGAATTTTTACATGTATTTTACATGAATACATGTATTCCAAAAGGGTCTAGATTATTGTATTGGTAAGAAGTAAATATAAGCAATCGAAGTCATTGGAAATTAAAAGTTTTTTCCCTTAACTTTTAATCTTTGGATATGTGTAGATTTCATTTATTCATCAAGTGAACACCTATACTTCAGATACTGTACTGAGGACTGATTAGACTGGTACTAACAGAGCATGGTGCCTCCTTTTTGGAGACAAAGCCTAGTGAGTAATGTAAATAAGTAAATCATTTCATCAGTGTGTTCACTACCTTAGGGGTGCCTGTGGAGTTGGTAAGGCATGAATTAGGGAAGAAGTGTCCTTTCTCACAGGAGATGTCCCTTTGTCTTTTCTCACAGGAGATGTCCCTTTGTCTTAGTACAGTCATATCTCATTTTATTGCCCTTTGATTTATTGTACTTCACATAAATAACTTTTTTACAAATTGAAGGTCTTCAGCAGGCCTGTGGAGCAAGCCCTCTCTGTCCTCTTTTGGAAATTACCACAATATTTCAGACTTCTAAATTATTATGCTACTTTGTATGGTGATCTTTAATCAGTGATTTTTGATGTTACTATTGCAAAAAAGATTGCAAAAAGATTAACACTCACTGAAGGCTCAGCTGATGGTTAGCGTTTTTATCAATAAAGTATTTTTTAATTAAGGCATGTACATTTTTTACAACACTTTCAGAACACATTTTTATGCACACTTAGTATTGACAACAGTGTGTAGTATAAGCATAACTTTTATATGCACTAGGGAACCAAAATTCTCATGTGATTGGCTTTATTGCCGTCTTCACTTCATTGCAGTGGTCAGGAACAGAGCCCGCGGTGTCTGTTATGCCTGTATAGAGGAATGAATAAGAGTTTACCAGGTAGACAAGAAAAGACAGATATTCCAAAGGGAGGTAGCAGTGTAATCTCGGGTGAAAAAGCATAGAACCATCTGGAAGCAGGAAAACTTAAAGTATATGGTGCTTGGGGAAAGTGACCAGAGATGAAGCCAGGAAGACTGGCAGGGACCTGATCATAAAGGATCTTTTAAGTCATGCTAAGAATTTAACAAAAACTTACAAGTAGTCAAATGATTGTGACCAGTGGAGTAACATGATCAAATGAAAAATTTTAAAAGATTATTAACTACAGTGTGTTTGGAGCAGAGCAAGCAGGTCAATATGAGACTAGAAGGCCAACTCAGAGGTGATATTAGTAGTATTGTAATGGAAACAGAAAGTGAGGAAATAAATTACGGAATATACATAGGAAATGAGAGATTGATGTCAGATATTATAAAAAATTTAAGTAAGGTGGTACAAAAAAGAATAATGGATGTGTAGGTGAATTGAACATGCTCAGTTGGTTTTTTTATTTGGTTTTTTTTAAGGTTTTTATAATAACATTCATTTCTTAAAAGTTAACGTGCATAACAGGAAACCAAAAGGCACAAGCGAAAAGTAGTCTTTCGTAATCACAAGCAGAGACAGATCAAGATAGGTGGAGTTACAGAGCTGCAGGAGTTAAGAAAATCCTTTCAGGAAATTTAAAGTGAGCAAGGAAGAGGTTGTAGCTAAGGAAGATGATGAGACATTGGCAGGTTAAACCTCTGGATTTTGATAAGACTCTCAGAGTCTCTACTGGTTGGGCATGCCAAAGCACTTGGGAAAGTTGCTAAAGTTTTAAGTGTTTTATTGGAGGTGTGCTGTGATTTCATTCTGCTTAAGACAAATGAAGTTATTTTGCAGTGAAGAGAAGTTGGTTTAACTGTTAATTAGGAAGATAGTTCCTTCTCATCCTTTTCACGGTTATTGTTAGAGTGTAGTGTAAATGTATATTTCATTTTAATCAATATCGGAGTTGAAAGCTTCTCACCACTACCCCATAAATAGAGCCAAGACCCAGGAAAATGGAGACCTTTAAAGGGAGAACAGTGAGTTTTTAGTTTCCTAAGTTAATAACATTAAAATTGCATTATCTGTCTCACCCCTCTATGTATTAATAGTTATTTATCATAATTTTCTTTTCTTTTTTTTAATAAGTTGGCAATTAGTTTTCCATCAGAAGATATTCTCCTGATAACAGCTTCTCCTGTTATTAAAGCAGTTACAAATTTCAAGCAGGTAAGAACCATCATATACCTTTCTTAGTGTTAATTTTCAAAAACTGCAGTAACTCACATAGCAGTTAGTGTAATTGTAGTATTTTAATTGTTTAACAAATGCTCTTTTGGTACTCATTTTCAAATCATAGCTCAAAGTTTAGAGTTGTTCACATGAAATACCAAAAGCACCTGGAAGGTATTAAATTTCTGGTTGTCTCTCATCTTTTCCTCCACACTCAGAAGTATGTTTCAGAAAGTTTCTCTTATGAGGAAGGATGTTATGCACATCTACATATGAATGCAAATATACATGTATATCTTGATGATAAGTGTGTGTGTATGTACAGGTCAGAAGAACATTACCTCTGAGCCGAGTTTACACTTGCAGATAATTAATGCTTCAGATGTGTAGTAAGCATCTCAGAACACTTTGTAGTTCCATGAGTTTATTTTATACATAACATTATAACAGCAGTCTAAAGAGCATTTGGGTCATAGTATAGAAAAGGAGACTCCAAACATTTTTGATCTTGTATCTCACCTGTTAAAAACTTTTGCACTCATTTCTTAACATTATATTTATAAACTACATACATGTACTGCAGTGCTATAGTTCTGAATATTATAGGACCTATGTAAAAAATAAATGAATAAAAGGTGAAAAACATAAATCTTTTCTTCCCATACTACAATGAAGACTATTCACATAGTCTTTGACTGAGTGCAGGTTTTCCCTTATAACAAGTATTTTTTTTTCCTTTTGGCATTTTGTATAGACTTAATCTTGAAATAAAGGTTAAAGATTTGATCTTAGGGAGAAAAAGCAATCTACCCATCTCCCACAAACACACCTTTCCAATCTTGAAGTGTGTTTTCTAAAAGTTCTTAATAATATTGTCTTTCAGGGAAGAGATCAGTATACAGTTAAGCTACCCCATTTTCATACATAAATCCATAAGATTTACATAAACTCTTAAGACCAAGGGTAATTTAGTGCCATATGTTGCACTTTATAACCTGCCTACAGATAGGTAAGATATCTTAGTACCTAGGTATAGCCAAAAGAACTATGTATGGGATTGAGAGAACCAGAGAACAGATTAAACAGGCTTTTAATTTCTAAAAGAAGAAAAGCATAAATTCAGTTATAGGCTACGAGTACATACTTAGAGATGTATAGCTGAATATTCCAAGTACAAGTGTTGTACAGTAGAAAGGGAAAACTTGGGTTCTAGGTCTAGCGATTATTTACTGGCTGTGTAGCCTTGACACATCTCTGTACCTGAATTGTATCCATTAGGATAATATCTTCTTTGCTTACTCAACAGGGTTGTGAGCTTAAGATGTACTAATATATATGAAAGTGCATTGAAATAGCAAATGTCTTTTTTTTTTTTTTTTAGTGTATAAAAGTCAGAAATTGCATTCCTTTTATCATTTATTGAATATTTAGATTATTTACCATTGTGCTAGGCATCCAGGATATGGAAGTTTACATAGACCATACATCAAAAAGTCACTAATGGTTATTAGTGTGTTTAGGGGAAAGAGTGGTAAAGAGGGAGTTTGACAGTTATTCTATATTATGTATTATTTATTTGTTTAGTGTTAAGAACACATTCATGACTTGTATAATTTTTAAAGGAGAAGAGGAATTAATAGTAATTCACATTTATGGAGTACTTATTATGCTGTACTTCTGAATGTTTAAATGTAGTAATGTATTTAATTCTTAACCCTGTGAAGTAGCTTGTTCTCCCCACATTACAGATGAAATAAATGTGTCCCAGTGAGGTTCCGTCAATTTCCAAGTTTATTGTCAGGTTTGAATCTAGACTCTCTGGCTATAGAGCCCACATGGTCAGTTTCTCAGATGATTATTTTCTACTGGGGCAACAAATATGCCCGAAATAGTTATCATAACAATTTCATCATTATCCTGATAGAGGCAAAAAATGAGGTCATTTACCAGTATATTTATATTTATACATACTGAACTTTGTGAAAGAGCACCAAAGCCTGCCTTTGGGAGTTAAGGAAGGCTTTACATAGGAAATTGCATTGAAATGAGATTTAAAGAATAAAAAGGTTTTACTGTGTTTGCAAGAGATCATGTGGAGTTTCAATTAAGAGGAGTGGTCAGTTGTGTCAGATTCTATGGAATGGTCAGGTAAGATGATGGTTGGAAAGTGGTTATTTCTAGTATAGATCATTGGTGACTTTCAAAGAATTTATGCAATTTTGAGAAATTAATGGGAGATAATTCTAAAATGACAGCATGAACTTTTCTCTATTGAAAACGTTGGCTATGGAGGTAGAAAAGATTTAGAATGGCAACAAGAGGACATGAGATCTAGCATTAAGTTGAATTTTATTCTTTTAAGGTGGGAATTGCTTGAGCATGTTCACCTCTTGAGATTAAGAAACCAGTGGGGAAGCCTGAAGATGAAGGAAAGCAAGGAATATATAACAAGGAAGGAGTCCTGAGGAGGTGAGAGGCGATGGGATCTGGAGCACAGAGCAGTGGATTGACTTTGAAATAGTGGAAGTGGGTCAAGGAAAGTGGACATGAGCAGAGAAACATCTGGATAGTGGGAAAGTAGTCAGAGTTCTTTATGGTCTCTGTGTGTAAGGTGATTTGCTGAGAATAAAGAGGATAGAATAAGTTTGGGGAACATCAGAATGATGAGAATTTGAAAAAGTCACTGAGGGATTGAAGTATGTTACTAAGATGTTACTGCACTTTTCACTGTATTTGCACTGATGGTATAAAAGGAGTGGTAGCTACTTACCCTGGTAGCCATTGTATTCTTGACTGCCACACAGTTAGTGGGAAAAATAAAAGCCATTTCTTAAAAAATGTTACTTTTATTAAATCTTGCCTCTTGAGTGTGCATATTTTTAATATTCTGTGACACAGTATGTATGCATAAAGCATTTCTGCATATGAAGAGTACAACATTGTCTCAAGGAAAAGCAGTTGTATACTTGCTGAGTTGCAAGATGAACTAGCTACTATTTTCATGGAACATCACTTTTGCTTGAAAGAACAACTGACACCACTGTGGCCATTCATGTTTGAAAAATGAATGAAGTGAGCCTGTCACTTCAAGAAACCAGCCAATGGTATTTGTTGCCAATATGACAAAATTAGAGCTTTCAAGCAAAAATTAGATTTTTGGAAAACTCATTCTTCACTGTTAGCCTTGTAGTACTTAGCTTTTTCTCATGAGATTGGTGATAATAATAAATGTGATTATTTTTTTAATATTTATTGATAGGAAATGTGTCAATATTTGGAAGATCTCTGTAATTTTGAGAACCAGTATTATCCGATGTGTGAAATTACAAGACAGACTTGTAACTATCAAAGTGCAGGATAGACTAATGGATTTCGCAGTCCCAAAATGAAAAGTTCTTGATACAGTATCAAATTCTACTTTGCATCTAATCTTTAGGAAACCATCACTTGTTGAGTTTTAGTGTAACATCAAGAAGAATGTACAGTTACCTGAAAGGGCTACATATCTGTGTGAGGCTAACTGTCTTCATGTACTTCAACTAAAACAATGGTGCAATGTTTTAAATGTAGAAGCGGTTTGAATGCAGAAGCAGATACCCAGCTACATTCTACTAAAGCAGACATGAAAGAAATTTGCAAAAATGCAAAACAGGGCTGCTTTCTCAGTTTGTTTTGTTTTTAAAAAAAAAAATAGTTATTTTTCATTAGAAGTGTATCACTTTTAACATGTATTGGATTTGCTATTGTTACTTTTAAGTTAATTAAGAAATAGTTAAAATTTTTCTCCATTTCAATTTCTAATGCAACAGATATTGCTAGGTCTAACTCAAAAACACAAAAGCTTATTGAGGTCCTCAGTTGGTAAGCCTATAAAGAGGTCCTGAGACTAAAAGGTTTGAGAACTGCTATAGCCAAGCAGCAGGATTTCCAGACAGAATTTGAGGGGAAATACTAGTCTATAATGTGTGGGGGTCTTCTGTAGCCACCTGGGTTTACAACTGGAGAATGGATGTAATGTGGTCTGTGGTTGGCAGTTTTCAGGGTAATTAATGGTTAAGGATAAGAGAGCAAGAAAGTAAAGGATTTGGAGAGAAGATGAAATGATCCATAGTGGAGTCCTAGTGGGATAGGACAGAAGGTGAGTCCAAGAGGAGGCTGACAATTTTGAAGAACAGGAACGAAGAGTCCAAAGACTAGCTCACAGTAATGTTAGCTAGTAAATAGAAAGAGAAAGCTACAAGGGTAAAGAACTAGATAAGCTTTTTGATTAAACTGTACAGAAGTAAGTAGTGTTAGCCTTCATTTTACAGACCAGAAGACTAAGGCTCGGTGACTTCCTGACTTGCCCATGAGAGGCAGGACTCGTGTTTGCGTTTAGGTCTAAAGATACAGAGTCTAGCCTTTCTACTGTGTATATTGCAGCTGGCAGACTTTCCTGTTTTATGAATGTGAAATAAATAGTGTATAAAAAAGAAACAAAAATATTTTATTATTTAAAATTCTTAAAAAATTTAAGTATGCATTTTTATCTCTTTTCTCTCATATAGGTTTCTAAAGTATTGGAAGAATTTGATGTTGAAGAACAACCAAGTACCATGTTAGAAAATCGCTTTCCCAACATTAAGGTTATAGAATCTGGAGTAAAGCAACTAAAGAGCAAAGAGCATGTACGTGGACTTTTTCTTAATGACATTTGCTGTTGTTAAATCTTGGTGAGAGATCTCGCCTGCCTTCCTTTGACCCCACCTGTTGCACCACCACCCAGGTGCCTGGCGTGTAAATTTTATTGACATTGATTCCCGTTAGTATTAGAAAAATTTACCCTTTTTTTGAGTTTCTTGGGGACATATCATTAGTTTAGGTTAGCATTTTAGATTTTACATTTTAAATGATCGTTAACATTTGTATAGTGTTCACTGTAATCTGGGCATTGCATTAAGTGTGGGGCACAGGAGCAGTAATAGCAGAAACCTGCTCCCAGCAGCTCTCAGCATCATCGGGAATACAGACATGCTATATGTTTAATGTTGAAATATCAAAGCTCTTTTATTAGGTGTTTTGGAAGACCTCACAGAGTGAGTAATACTGAGCTATGTTTTAAAAAGGTAGGTGGAGTAACAGTTCTCCACGTGGAAAAGGGCATTCCTGGAAGTGGAGACTGCGTGTTGAGAGACCCAAAGAGAGGAGAAGGGCATGTGGAGAGAGAGAGAGGCCGTCAGAGGGGTTGGGTATGGATAAGGAAAGGATATTGGTCAGCTAGGCCAGAGAAGTGAGTAAATAAGATTGTGAAGAACTTTTTATGTCATGCTAATAAACTGAGTTCATTTTATCATCAGTGGATAAATAGTAAAGAGATTTTACGTGGAAGAAGGGTTGATAAAATATTCATCTAGGAAGATGTATCTGACTGCAGTGTCAAAGACAAACCAGGGTAGAACATATGGCTAGTAGCCAGTAACCAAATTAGAAGATGGTTATAACAGTCCAAAATGATATAAGGCCCAAGTAGAGGCAGTCTCAGGAAAGGCAACTTCTCGGTCTCAGATGTCGGGAAGTCTCAGATGTCGGGAAGTCTCGGTGTCATATGATACACAGTATCTTCACATGAACTTCAGGCACTAAGATGGGAACCAGGGTTTGTAGTTGTTTCTCTGAAGCAGCTCAGGTTTGAGTTCTCCCTTAGGGAGAAAGGGTTATGTGTCATGTGTGAAACAAATAACTTGACAGGAAAAAATAAAAGTAAGAAAAACTACTGAGTTTATGAGAAAAATTTTGCAAATCTGAATCCAAACACCACAGTGATTTCCTAATATTTGTAATGGCCACACTTGTTCCATAAAACACCCATGTCAGTGAATTTGCACACTGAGGTAGGCTCAGAAGTAGACAAGTGAATCGTGAGGGAACTTACGTGTCAGGGCATTGGAATGAGCCGAAGTGCCAAGTGTTTCATTTGAAAAGTGTCTTGTATAGTATACATGTCTGTCTTCTGTGATCCATCCTTCATATTCTTTAGTGAATTAGAAATGATGTGTTTTACCTTTTTGTCTCCAAAAATTTAACAGTCAATGAAGAGGTTTCGTGTTTGTTTTTATAGTACCTAGGTGCAAATAATTTTTTAAATTTGGTCAGTGCCTATAACTTCTGTTAAAATTGTAACCAGATTATCTAAAGGAAGACTTGTATAACATTTCTGTATGATTATACTCTGTTGGTTTATTGGTTTTATGTTGTATTTTTTTACGTAGCTGGAAAGTTAAAACGTGTAACATATTTCAGTGGGTATGTACTTCGCTATTTGACAAATTTTATAAATCAAACACAAGGTATAAAGATTAACTCCTAAAACTATTCCAGCAAAGTCTGACATCTCTCATAGTAGCACATGCTTATGTCTATCTGCTTTCTAAATGCTACTCCTATGTGGATACCCATTCAGTATTAAGAAACAAAAACCATGGGTCTCTGATACGTATTTTTAGACTCATCTAAATTCACTAATCAAAAATTAATATAAATTAAAGCCAGTATATGCTAGGATTTAAGGTTAACATGTTTTTCACTTACAGAAACATGTAATCCACAAAGAGCATGATGTTCGCTGGTAATGCGATTGTAATTTGTACTTAAGAGTATAAACACTGTTTCTCAGCACTTCTGATTTTTTAGATTCAGAAGCTATTGTTACCTCTTCTGCCATTAACTATTCCTCTGCACCCATAACAGACATTAAGGTCTGATATGATTATAATCATGAATATACTTATAATGACTCCCTTTGAGATTAGAGTGTTTATCAAGGAAATGTTCATCAGATTGGTCAATTTAAAAATTTCTAAATGTTTAGTCTTTAAGGCCAACATACCTTTCCAGACATGAGATTCTCAAAGTTTTATCCAAAATTTTGTGGGAATGTACCTTTTTTCCCCCATGAGAAAAGGACTAGTTTTCATCAGATTTCTATAGATGGTTCATGGTCCCAAAGGGATTAGGAATCACTGGGCTAGAGAGCACGTTGTTGTACTTCGTTAGCTTTGTCATTGCTGTGGCAAAGTATTGAGTGCTACCAAGAGGCAGCCTTAATATATTTTTTCCTTTTGCCTTCTTGAATGTTTCATAATTGTGCTCATGTATAAATGTTTCCCCTCTCTTCATTGCTCTACGGTTTTACAGTGCATTTTAACTGAAGATGGCAATCAGCATACTTATAAGAAGCTCTGTCTGTGTGCTGGAGCGAAACCAAAATTGATATGTGAAGGAAATCCTTATGTGTTAGGAATCCGTGATACAGACAGTGCACAGGTAACATTTGGGTCATGGGAAAGAAACATGAAGACTTCTTAGATGTTTTCTGCATTTGAATCAAAGTGCTATACTTATAATGATAATTTCTAAACTGTAGCAGCAGAAGAAAGTCTTCATGACTCATAAATCAAAACGTAGTATAATGTTCTAGTACTGCCAATTTGAGTTCAGTTTCAGTTGATAATTTAGGGCTTTTCTGTGGCTCAGATGGTAAAGAATCCACGTTCAATACTGGAGACCTGGGTTCAGTCCCTGGATCAGGAAGACCTCCTGGAGAAGAGAATGGTTACCCACTCCAGTATTCTTGCCTGGAGAATTCCATGGATAGAGAAGCCTGGCAGACTGCAGTCCATGGGGTTGCAGAGAGTCAGACAGGACTGAGCAACTAACACTTAGTTGATAATTTATCTTGTTTTTTATCCATGTTCTTTCTCTTTCTGTGTTATCTCAGGTTTAATGTCTATGCTGAAGGTTACAACTAACATTCAGTTCAGTGCAGTCCCTCAGTCGTGTCCGACTCTCTGCAGCCCCATGGACTGCAGCACGCCAGGCTTCCCTGTCCATCACCAACTCCCGGAGCTTGCTCAAACTCACGTCCATTGAGTCAGTGATGCCATCCAACCATCTTATCCTCTGGCACCCCCTTCTCCCGCCTTCAATCTTTCCCAGCATCAGGGTCTTTTCCAAGGTGTCAGTTCTTTGCATCAGGTGGCCAGATTATTGGAGTTTCAGTTTCAGTATCAGTTCTTCCAATGAATATTCAGGATTGATTTCCTTTAGGATTGACTGGTTGGATCTCTTTGCAGTCCAAAGGACTCTCAAGAGTCTTCTCCAACACCACAGTTCAAAAACATCAGTTCTTCGGCGCTCAGCTTTCTTTAGTCCAACTCTCACATCCATACATGACTACTGGAAAAACCATAGCTTTGACTAGACAGACCTTTGTTGGCAAAGTAATGTCTCTGCTTTTTAATATGCTGTCTAAGTTCGTCATAGCTTTTCTCCCAAGGAGCAAGCATCTTTTAATTTCATGGCTCCAGTCACCATCTGCAGTGATTTTGGAGCCCAAAAAAATAGCCTGTCACTGTTTCCATTGTTTCCCCATCTGTTTATCATGAAATGATGGGACCAGCTGCCCTGATCTTAGTTTCTGAATGTTGAGCTTTAAGCTAACTTTTTCACTCTCCTCTTTCACTTTCATCAAGAAGCTCTTGATGTAAAGCTCTTTAGTTCTTCTTTGCTTTCTGCCATAAGATGACACGCTTTCTGGTGTCATCTGCATATCTGAGGTTATTGATATTTCTCCTGGCAGTCTTGATTCCAGCTTGTGCTTCATCCAGCCTGGCATTTTGCATGGTGTACTCTGCATATAAATTAAATAAGCAGGGTGACAGTATACAGCCTTGACCTATTCCTTTCCCGATTTGGAACTGATCTGTTATTTCATGTACAGTTCTAGCTATTGCTGCTTAACCTGCATACGGATTTCTCAGGAGACAAACCACACATTATTCTACTCCGATTGGGAATATGTGATTTGCATCCTAAATGATGTAATGATCTTTTTCTCAAAAGGCCAAGCATGTCCAAGACTTACTTCTTAGCAAATAAATCAATATTCAGAAGATCTTTGTGATACAGAATCCTAGAACTGAAAAAGATGCATGGTTTGTTCTGCTCGAGAACAGTGGTAAACTATCCCAAAAAGGTGAAATTCTATATTTGGAACCTTTTGCAACTCCTTTTGGTAATTTATTTCAGAATTCATTAATCCTTATTGCCAAGAACATCTTCTTGGTTCCAGTCACAATACTCCTCTCTTACCTCAAGCTCAGTGTTGTTCTGTCCTATGAGGTAGTAATTTTATATTTACATAATAAGATTTCACAGCATATTCAAAAGCAGAGACATTACTTTACCAGCAAAGGTCCATCTAGTCAAAGCTATGGTTTTTCCACTAGTCAAGTATGGATGTGAGAGTTAGACTGTAAAGAAAGCTGACCGCCAAAGAATTGATGCTTTTGAACAATGGTGTTGGAGAAGACTCTTGAGAGTCCCTTGCACTGCAAGGAGATCCAACCAACCAACCTTAAAGGAAATCAGTCCTGAATATTCATTGGAAGGACTGATGCTGAAGCTGAAACTCCAATGCTTTGGCCACCTGATGTGAAGAACTGACACCTTGGAAAAGACCCTGATGCTGGGAAAGATTGAAGGTGGGAGGAGAAGGGGACGACAGCAGATGAGATGGTTGGATGGTGTCACCGACTCTATGGACATGAGTTTGGGCAAACTCCAGGAGTTAGTGATGGACAGGGAGGCCTGGAGTGCTGCAGTCCATGGGGTCATGAAGAGTTAGACACGACTGAGCAACTGAACTGAATAGGATTTCATAGTCTATTAAATTGATAGTAATTTTGTTAAAGCTTATTCTTAAATAGGAATTTTAGAGAATACTAGAAGAACTGGGTTTTCTTCTTACAAACATTTGAGGTTCATATTATCAAGGATTGAGTTCATAACTATGTTAGAGTGATGTCCTCTGGGTACATGAACTCATCAATCCTCATGATAATCCTGTGGCAGTCATTACTTCCACTCTACAGAGATGGGGGACTAAGTAGACCTAACTGCTTCAGCTGTTCAACTGTCATCCTGAAGCAATGGGACTTTTCCTCTACTGCAGAACTTACCAAAAGAATGATTTCTGGTCACTTTTTCTCCAAGCTCATTGTCGTCTTTTTTTGGCGGAGAGTGGGAAGTAGAGGCATCAATTAGTTGTTTCACAATGGTGATAACATGTTAAAAACAAATACTAGACATTATTATGTGCCTGCTACTCCTAACAACTTTATCTCCATCATCTTACTTAATGCTTAAAGAAACTTTGAGATATAGTCACTTCTTACTCTCATTTATAAATTGGGAGGACCTGAGGTGCAGAGAGGTTAAGCAGCTTGCCCAAGGTCACCCAGTTAGTAACTGCTGGAGCCAGGGCCTCTGTAGTCTGTGCTCTGAACCACTGTGCCACTGTGCTCCTCATTTCTGTCAGTTCTGAGACTGCAGGGACAGTGTCGACTGAGGGACTAGGACAGGAAGACTCCTGTGTCCAGGATGTAGCTCAGTGTCATTGGTAAATTGACTTGGTCCAGTAGTTGGGAATGTAGTAAGCTAAAGACAGCCTCGTGCTGCATTTGAGTGTAATGACACACAGGTAAAGAAAGCTAAAAGAAGCATTGCTATAAAGGCAATCTGGGGTAAAACATGGAGACAGCATTTTTATTACATTAATCGGGAGGATACGTCCTGGCAGAGAGGGAAAGAGATTTATTATCAGTGGAACCTCTTGCTTCAGGCATTGCCCATACTACAAAACACTTGTTGTTTTCTTTTTGATACAGGAATTTCAGAAACAACTTACTAAAGCTAAGAGAATAATGATCATAGGGAATGGTGGTATCGCACTTGAATTAGTGTAAGTACATGTTTTTTAATATTATGTAAGGATTGCTCTGTGATTCGTGTAATTATTGGTAGATGAGAAAATATCTTGTTATCCTGAAAAATCAAAGATAATTGTTTTTCATGTATTTTCAAGGAGAAAATCCACTTTTTTTTTTTTAGCTTTCATGAAATAATTCATAGTTGAGAAGGTAAATTTATGAAACAGAGTTTCAGGAAAGCTTTCAGTCTCACTGACGACTGGTTAGATTTGACCCATGCATGTGTTCTTGTAAGCATGTGCTATATTGAAAAACAATTTAAATATGTACACCTTTGAGAGTCCGGCCCATAGTCCCCATGACTGTTTATTGCTTATACCCCATCCTGCTTCACGCATTTACCTTACCCGTCTGGCCATGAAACTCAAAGTGTGTGTGAGTTTCTGTTTCAAGATACGTGGTGCTCCCAAGTAAGAGGAGTAACTCTTGGTTTCTGGAAGTTTGGGGAATGTGAACACCTTAATATGAAATACTATCATCTTAATATGGTGTTTACAGTTTGAAATCTATTGAGGAGTACCCTGCTGTAGTCTCCAGAGCATTGATGCGCTTCCTTTGTGATTTTATCTTTCCGCAGATGGCAGACATGGACTAGTCTAGATATTTTTCAGGCCAGAAATTTGGGTCTGGCTACAAAGAGGACAAATTTATATCTAAATAAGGAGTCTGCCAGAACCCTGTCTTTGCTCCCTTTCATTTGTTCCAGCCCTGAAAGTAGGTTTTTGCCTCTTTTTAGAGGATGATGAATCTCAGTGGAAGCCTGTAAGAGTTCTTGGATTGCCTGAGTGTGAGCATTGGCAGTCGTTAATGTAATTATGAAGTTTGTGGCATTGTATGGAAAAATGCAAAGAAAAAACCAGAGTCAAGACCAAATGAGCCAGAAGAGGGAGGCATAGATTTATTGTAAGAGGGGCTTCAAATCCTTACATAGACATGACAGATTTTTCTCTATCAATTATCACCAAAAGTGGAACTTAATACTATTATTAACATTGAAAAGCTTGCTCACATTCAAAAAGTTTCCAAGTCTTATAATATTTAATCCTATTCTTTATTTAGGTTGGAGATTGAAGACCATATACTTGAATAAAATTCAGACTTTTATATTCAGTAAACTCTGATTGTTTAAGAATGTGCCCATGTAGTGCTATTCTCTCATTTTAGGTTAACTGAATGATTAGGCTTTTTTGTCTTAATGAAAAATGACATATCCAGACTCTTTCTGCTTTATAGTAGCCCCCATGTTCCACTGATGCTAATACTGATTCCTTCAGTATGCCTTCATTTCAGCTATTATCTCTGTTTCCAAATGTAGGTTAATCCTTTCTTTTTTAAGCAAACATAGTTTTTCATAATTTCACAAAATGTAATACTTCATTGTTTTCTGGGTTTTTTTTAAAGTGGTTTTAAAAATGAAAGCAGAATTTCCCAAAGTGTGATGATATCTTCTTGCTTATGCATCTTTCTGAGGACATAGGTCATAGGATAAGAGGATTAGAGAGCATCCTGTGAGGTACAGCACATCCAGGAGTTATTTCTGGTGGTTACTTATAATAACTTATAATACTTATTATAAGTAACCAGTCAAGCATCAGTATTTTAAGCTATACTGCTATGTGTTATGTTGCTACATTACTTTAAAATAAAAAAAAAAATTGTGTGTAAAATTGGAATATAAAAGTTATGTGTATTCTGCTTTCTGTTTATCAGCAATATTTTATGATCTGAGCAGCATGAGATAGAATGTTCTCCAGATAATCTGAAATTTAGTAACTATTAAGTACTCTGATGGCATAAGAGAGGAGGAGAAACAAAGGCCCACTGGAGAAGGCAAAGGGCTCCTTTACCATATGCCAAAAAGCATGAACATCAGGTGACCTGGTGTCAGATGTACTAAACGTTCTTTTTTCTGTTATCAGCTTATCAGTAAGCCTTGAAAAATCATATAACCTAGCTATGTTATATTATGTCACTCTGAGAAATAAATTGTGGTAACACTTTTTACCATAAAGTAAAGTGAAAGTGAAGTCGCTCAGTCATGTCCAACTCTTTGTGACCCCATGAACTGTAGCCTACCAGGCTTCTCCGTCTATGGGATTTTCCAGGCAAGAGTACTGGAGTGGGTTGCCATTTCCTTCTCCAGGAGATCTTCCCATCCCAGGGATTGAACCCAGGTCTCCGGCATTGTAGGCAGACACTTTTACCGTCTGAGCCACTAGGGAAGTGACCAGTGACATTAACACACTGATTACTATTGCAGTTTCCAATAAAATCCTTGTATAGTTAGGATGACCATATATCCTGTTTGTTCAGGATTGTCCCCATTCATTTGTACCAAAACATGTATTAAGAGCAGATAAATTATAATGAACTCCAGGGACTTTGTGGAGTGATTATTAAGAAAACCACATTCTCAGTGTCCAAACCTAGAGATAAAATTGCTGAAGCCCAGAAGCTCTTGCTACCTCATGAACATTAATGGAAGGTGGTTTCTATATACCTTGGGCATTCCTTTTTTCCTCTAAGATCCTTCATTTTTCTGTGACCTGGGTCTTTCTTTGGCTAGATGTCTTGGAAATTTCTTAGATGAAAGGAATTCATTGCAGGGTAATCCTTTCCTGTACAGCAAAGATTTTCATTGTAACTCTCATTCTTTCTTTTTTCTCTGTCCTTCCTTAATGTGCTTTGAATACATATTAATAAAATATTTGTCCGCAAAGAAGTCAACTGTCTCAATATTGTAGCTATATGTCACCCATCCTTCCATTACTGATTACATTGTAACTAGATAAACCAGGTATTGCTCACTCCTGGGAACCCTGGGGGACATTCATATAATAACTATGTTTAGAAATTGAACACTTTTAGGTGATACTCATTAAAAATTTGTACATGCTACTCAGCGCATATGTGTGCATGCTTTGTCGCTAAATTGTGTCCAACTTTGTGACCCCATGGATTACAGCCCACCAGGCTCCTCTGTCTATGGGATTCTCCAGGCCAGAATACTGAATTGCCATTTCCTCCTCCAGGGATTCAGTGTATATATTTGTCATGTATATGTTCTCTAAATAAACTTTAAATTTCCCTTATTATTTATTCTACTTTAACTCTTATTACCCTGAAATGTGTTATATTGTGCTTAATAATCATTCTCAGTTTGCCTTAAAATATTTTCTTTACTCTTGCGCAAAGAGGTAGTTGTTATTTATCATACAAAGATTTCTTCTTATGCTTTGAACTTGCTCTGAGTAACTTTCATATTCCTTTTAGGTATGAAATTGAAGGCTGTGAAGTAATTTGGGTCATTAAAGATAAAGCAATTGGCAATACTTTCTTCGATGCAGGAGCAGCTGAATTCTTGACTTCAAAGCTCATTGATGAAAAACCAGAGGCTAAAATTGCACAAAAAAGAACCAGATATACAACTGAAGGTAAGTATGGTGTCTAGCTCATTCATTCACAGATGAGACTTTACTTTTTAACCATATAGAAAAAGAATATTAAGAAAATTTAGCAAAATATTTTGATAGGACTATAGATAATACTTATTTCTATTTCTTTATGTAACTTTTAAGATTATACACACACATGCACACACACATATATATATGTAGGATATATTTTTATGAAAAATATGTATAACTAAAACTGGAAATTTAAAGTGAATTAAATAAACCAGCCCATCTACATCAGTGCAGGCAGATGCTATAGTTTGACAACACCTAAGTTTATAAAATGCAGTGAGTTTAAAAACAAATACAGTTTTTTAGTTTAAAAGAGCTTTTTTTTTTCCTTAAATTTTTGACTTATAAAATTGAACAAGAATTTTGTATGTTTGGGTCACACTAAAAATTGACAAAATTTTCAAAATTTAATGTCTGATTTTCTTACTCTTTATATTAACCAGTGATTATAACATCCATGAAGCACTCTATATGTGTTTATACACAACACTCAATTGAAAGATTATCCATTTTGTAGCTGTATATCACAAAATTACCAAAGTAATGAATAAAATAATATAGATAAGTTTAGTCCTGCTGTGTGAATGTGTGTATGAGAATTATTACATTACCTAAAAACTTGTGAACACATAGTTCTCTGCATCCTTTGGATTTTGAACTGAGTTTGTCTCTTCAGGACGGAAAAAGGAAGCACAAACCAGAGCTAATGCTGGTAACATAGGCAGCGCCCTGGGACCTGACTGGCATGAAGGGCTGGATCTTAAAGGAACAAAAGAGGTATGTTTTCATATACTGTTTAAACATATCTAAATCTAATTTTAAATTCTTTGAACTGTTTGTTAAAGACTGGTTATTAACCCTGTAGTCAAAGAATTGGCCAAGTCGTTTTCCTTAAAATCCATGGCGTTAAGAATGGACTTTGGGGCCAGTTGGCCCATTTGAACTTTAAAGATAGATCTCCATACACAGGCTTTAGTAAACACACCCATCCTATTTTAAATTAATCTTTTCTCAAAGGTCTCTTTGGATGCAGTCTATTCTAAAGATTATTAGATAGATTCTAAATAAATTACACATTTAATATCCTAATTGCATAAGCAGATGAATTGCTCTTACTCATTTTATTTACTAGATGTTTTAGTTATTTGTGGTTAAAAGGCTATGATATTTAAATATTGTAAGAAATACATACACAGTCTTTATTACTGTGTATGTTTTCTTTTCAGCCTTCATTAGGTTGGAGTGGGCCTGGCTTCACAGTATATCAAATTTGTGTGTATCAAATTTTGTGATGGAAATCACACAAAATCATTTATTCCTGCACCTTCAGGTCCTACAATTAATGGTATTTTTAACTTGCAACTTCAGTTTAGTTCAGTGAACATTTGTTGAGTATCTCCTACCTAAGTGGCACTTTTACTAAAGTTCTAAAATATAACACAGGATGTGTCAATTTACTTTTCAGTCCGTAACAGTTATAATTTAAAAATACATACACAGGACTTCCCTGTGGCTAAGCGGTAAAGAATCTGCCTGTCAGTGCAGGAGCCACTGGTTCAGTCCCTTATCCAGAAAGATCCCACGTGCCGTGGAGCAGCTAAGCCTGTGCTCTAAAGCCCAGGAGCCTCAACTACTGCGCCCGCGTGCCCTTCAGCCTGTGCTCCGCAACACGAGAAGCCCTGTAATGAGAAGCCCGTGCACTGCAGCTAGAGCAGCCCCCTCTCACTGCAGCTAGAGAGCAGCCCTGTGCAGCAACGAAGACCCAGCACCGCCGAAAATAAATAAAATACAAACACATATACATGTAATTATTGATAAGGCTTATATTAAAAAGTATGCCCTTAATGCTACCTGCCAATTCAACTCTTGATCTCTAAATACTAAATGAGTTTCTGCTCACACTTTTCATACACAAAATTAAGAGGCATGTTGGGGAGCATTAAATGTGTTTTCACTTATACTGTAAGAATTTTTTTTTTTTTTTAGTTTCTGTAAGTATTTTAAATTTTTTCTTCATCATCAGTAACCCATCCTTCTTTCTGGAAGTATTATGGTGACCAGTACTTCTTTATTTTAGTTTTCTCATAAAATTCACATTGAAACCATGTGTGAAGTAAAGAAAATTTACCTTCAGGAAGAATTTAGAATTTCTGAGAAAAAATCCTTGTCTTTTCCAAGAGACCATCATGATCAGTCAGTTACTACTGACAAAGGTAAGTGATAAAATAAGAAAAAATAATCACTTATTTAAAAAGAAGACACTTTTGCCTTATTGTTATATTTAAAAACTCCATACTTCCATATGAAATTTAAATGTGAAAAGATAAAACCATAATTTAATAATGTAAATAATTTCATCTTCACTACTTAACTCTTTGCATTTTCTAATAAATTAAATTTTATAGAGCTTAACATTTTATGCAAAGCCACTGTTTGACCATCATACCCCTGTGAGTGAATTAAGAGTGTCTTGCAGATCAAGACAAAAAATAAAAACTAAAAAACTGATGCTGTTAGAGTTGAAGTAACATCCTTAAAATCAGACAGACTGAAATCTATAAAGTTGAAACTAAGGTACAGATCTCCTGAAATTCCTACTTTCCATTCCTGTGAGAACTACTCTATGAAATATATTCAACCAAACCTCCTGTATGAGATACCCCATTGCTCTGAATTCTTTGAATCTTTTCACAGGGAAAGGAATTGTCTGAGTGTCAATAATAAGGGAAAACTTTATAAAAGGAGTAACTTACTTAGACTAAACTCTCAATGGAGTATAATTTATTAATAAAGATTTTTAAAGAAATTTGTAAAGTGATTATCAATTTACCTTGTTAGAATTTGTTTCTAAATTTGAAGGAAAAATGTTTATAATGCCTGCCGTGGATTCGTGACTATACCCAAAATAAGAAGATGGAATTGGTTATATCAAAATTGTTTTAGCAAATGTACTTTGTAAATATTATTGAGTTATTGTTTTAAAGTCACCTCTTGCCTTGTTCAGTTCTTCTTTGTTCTAGTTGTCATATTCACATAATGTTACAGGCTGTTGGTTGTGATTACACTTGAGAACAAAAAGTTTTTTTTTTTTAAGAGATATGGCCTGTATATGTGGAATTGACTAATGAAAAGATATTTGGCTGCGATTTCATTGTCAGTGCTACAGGAGTTACACCAAATACAGAACCTTTTCTCTGTGGCAACAATGTAAGTTGAAAATCTTTGTCTCACTGTGAACATTGCTAAGTATTATTTGTAAAGATCTCTAATTCTCAAGCATGAACATTGTTCATTTGAAGCGTGGCACAGAACTGTAATTTAAGATGGCTGAAAACAATTTATATTCATGTCTTCATGTTCAGTATTTTTTTCACTGTCAAATCCTTAAGCAGTTAACATCTCAGCATTATTTAAGGTGACATAATTCACGCTTCATTTATCTAAATGTTGGTAAGAGACTGATGTGTATGCTAAGTCACTTTAGTCCTGTCCAACTCTTTACAACCTCATGGACTGTAGCCTGCCGGGCTCCTCTGTCCATGGGAGTCTCCAGGCAGGAATACTGGAGTGGGTTGCCATGCCCTCCTCCAGGGAATCTTCCCGACCCAGGATCGAACCCACTTCTCCTACATCTGCCTTGGCAGGCGGGTTATTTGCCATTAGCGCCCCCTTGGAAGTGGGCCTCAGAGACTTCCTATGAATTCTTAAAAAGTGATTCTTTTAGAGAAACCAGCTTGTATTTTTTGCTTTTTAGCATTTGAAGCTTGTAGTAACTGAGGAATATTTTTGTAACTATGAGTGGGGTAGTCATATGTTTATTGGCAATTTTTGATGTTCTAAGAATTTGAAGTCCCAAGAATGGTATGGGTTCATCTTTAGTAGGAATTTGACTGACTGGAAATTCAGATTAGTTGCCTAAACTTGGCAGCTATTTTTCACTTTCCTCACTAAAAGCATATCAACATGTAGAAATTTGACTTGTTCTTTTACTTCAGAACGAAAAGGTCATGTTTCCTTTTCCTTACCCTATGTGCTTATGAGGAACATTGTCTAGTTTGATGTAGGAGAAGACGGTGGCCTGAAGGTGGATGACCACATGCACACGTCCCTTCCTGACATCTATGCCGCAGGTGATATTTGCACAGCCTCCTGGCATCCCAGCCCTGTTTGGCTGCAGGTAAGCTGGCATAACCGATCACAGATGTTTATCAGAGAGCCCATCTGAAAATAAAGGAGCTGCCACAAGTAAATACAGCTTTCTGGGTTTCCAGCTTTTCTACTTTTAAGTGGGAAGCTATCAGAGGTTTTGTTTTGTTTTTTGGTCACAAAAACAAAACACTAGAATTTTCCCCCTTTTGGTGAGGTAGTACATAGTGATGGAATAGACTGGGATGTCTTAATTTTAAAAAGAATTATGACTGTTACTTTTTCATGTTCAGATGCTTATCAGCAGTGTCCAGTAGAACTTTCTGTGGTGACAGATACACCATGTACTTTTGCAGTGTCCAGTCAGGCATCCACTAGCCACCTGTCTACTAAGCACTTCAAAGGTGGCTGTGGCTGGGGAACTGAATTCTAATTTTACTTGTAATCAATTTAAATAGTTATGTAACTAGTGGCTGCGATTTAGTTCAGCAAAGTTTTAGATTAAAAAATAGCACACTGAGATTATAAACCATACATCGTTTCTGATGATCCTGGTCCCTGTGGATTCCCGTGGATTCCCATGAATTCCCATGGTAAACAGCTTTCCTCAGCCTAACAACCCCTTCCACCTGGATCTAGATTTCCCCCTGCTGTCACAGTGTTGCCTGCCTCGTAATGGTGGGGCAGAAGTCCTAGAGAAAGATACTCAAGACAGGGGCCAGGAGTGGCATTGTTTTAGGAGGAGGAGAGTCAGAGGTAGATGTTACAGATAAAAGAACCAGTCAACACTTACCTTGGTGATTACTCCAGTGAAAAACAAAAAACCGCTTACCTTGGTGAAAGACCAGTTCCACTGGTAGGGCTATTCGTTCAGATTAACTGGAGTGTGAAGTAGTAGAAGAACTAGATGTATTTTAAGAATCAGTTTTATTATTTTTACATATATCAGAGATAGCATCAACAAGAGGGTGATGTCAGCCATATTTCTAAAATGCTTCAAACTAACTTGTTTTCAGTTTTCTCTACAGTGACATCCTATGTCATTTTTATGGCAAATCTGTCGCAAACTCAAATTAGGAACTGGAGTTACTGTTTTTGTTGTTGTCATTTTAACATTTCAACCTACTAAGGGTTAAAGCCGGACTTCCCTGGTAGCTCAGGTGGTAAGGAATCTGCCTGCCATGCAGGAGACCCCAGTTCAATTCCTGGGTCGCAAAGATCCCCTGGAGAAGGGATAGGCTACCCACTCCACTATTCTTGCCTGGAGAATCCCCATGGACAGAAGAGCCTGGTGGGCTACAGTCCATGGCATCGAAGAGAGTCGGACACGACTGAGTGACTAAACCCAGCACAGCAGAAGGGCTGAAGCCAGGGAACATGTCAGTTACGTCCTTCACGTGCCTTGTACTCTAGTACAGGGGAGAAATGGCCAGAAACAAACAGGTGTTTCTTACTGTGTGTGTCTCTAATAAACTCATCTCTTAATTTGCATAAGCAGTAATTGTTTCACACAGTCCAGGGCGCAGACTGAAGGGACTGGGAGGCTAAAATGCATTACTAACAGTGCAGCAGTTTAGTATCGCAGGCCACTCTGCTGGTCACTCTCCAGTTGTTACTGTGCTCCGTTGGCTGCCTTCTTACTTCACCAGGCCTAACCTTGTTCAGCTGCTGCTGCTGCTAAGTCACTCAGTCGTGTCCGACTCTTCGCGACCCCGTGGACTGCAGCCTACCAGGCTCCTCCATCCATGGGATTCTCCAGGCAAGAGTACTGGAGTGGGGTGCCATCGCCTTCTCCGAACCTTGTTTAGAGAGGAGACCAAATTTAAAAAAAGAAAAACGCACTTCTTTCAGAAATTCTTAAAACTCATGATTATATTTATTATTTTTTGCACACACAAAAGACATTAGTTGCCACACATGAGGTATAAGAATTATCAAATACCAGAAGCAGTTGTCTAGTGTGACAATGATCCAGTCAGTTACCTAACAAGCTAGGTGTAACTGTTCTCGGGGACTGTCAAGCACTTTAAGGAATTGTACTTGGTTAAGGTGGTAACATTCTTCAAATAATGATAATGAAAAATAAAACTGCATGACCTTCTTTATTTCAGATGAGGCTGTGGACCCAGGCTAGGCAGATGGGCTGGTATGCGGCGAAGTGCATGGCTGCAGCTAGTGTGGGAGAGTCCATTGACATGGATTTCAGCTTTGAACTTTTCGCTCATGTAACAAAATTTTTTAACTATAAGGTAAGATAGACAGACAAATATTAATAGTACCTTTCCTGCTTGTTAGTCTTATAACTACAGTCATCTAATTTTTTCACGTGAATAAGAGCTTAATCTGGTTTTAATCACTGTACAAAAAATGACAGATTTCCTCATTTCTTACAAACCCATAACTGGTATTATTGCTGGAGGCTTCGCCAGTGGCTCAGAAGGTAAAGAATCTGCCTACAGTGCAGGAGACCTGGGTTCGATCCCTGGGTTGGGAAGATCCCCTGGAGGAGGGCATGGCAACCCACTCCAGTATTCTTGCCTGGAGAATCCCATGGACGTGGGAGCCTGGCGGGCTACATACAGTTCATAGGGTCAGGGTCCCCTGGTGGCTCAGTCAGTAAAGAGTCCGCCTGCAATGCCGGACACCTGGGCTCAATCCCTAGGTTGGGAAGATCCCCTGGAGGAGGGCATGGCAACCCACTCCAGTGTTCTTACCTGGAGAACCCATGGAGACAGGAGCCGGACACCTGGGCTCAATCCCTGGGTTGGGAAGATCCCCTGGAGGAGGGCATGGCAACCCACTCCAGTTCTTACCTGGAGAATCCCCATGGACTGAAGCGACTAAGCACGGTCCCTGGTCATCTGATAGTCAGACCTGCCTTCTCACTGAACTCTTGTAGTTCGGGGCGGGCAGGGAAATCTCTTCCAGATTTGTTCCCTGATGATACATTTCTGAGTTTTATTTGAAATTCACTCCTTTGTGAAGGGAATTAACAGCTATTCATACCAAAGAATGAGCAGGTACTACCCCCTACATATTATTTAACCCTCTTTACATCACTCTGGGGCAGGTTTTTTCCTCCTCATTTACTGACAAGGAGAAACACACACATACAAATATATACATAAATTTCAGAGAGGTTCAACAATTTGCCCTTGAAAGATATAACTCAGTTTCTTATTCAGCCTTTATATCATGACTCCAGGCTGATGTAGTTCCACATCCTACGTATTTGTATAATCACTAGGTATCTTTAGTGTTCATATATATTGTATGGTAGTGTCATCTGTAGAGTAAATGCATACTGTAAAAATGTTTTCTTTGGTTCCTTCTAAATGGCACTTTTAGCAGTAAAACTTTGTGATGAGATTTCCCATTCTAGGAAAACACAAAATAACTGTGTGTTTTGTTTCTTCTTAAATACTCACTAAAATAACGTTTTTATATTTCTCTATACAGGTTGTATTACTGGGAAAATACAATGCACAGGGTTTGGGTTCAAACCACGAACTACTGCTGAGGTGTACCAAAGGGCAGGAGTACATCAAAGCCATCCTGCAGAACGGGCGAATGATGGGCGCGGTCTTAATTGGTGAAACCGACTTAGAAGAAACATTTGAAAATTTAATTTTAAACCAGATGAACCTTTCAGCATATGGAGAAGATCTGCTGGATCCAAATATTGATATAGAAGATTATTTTGACTAAAAACGGCATTTCAAGAGCTGCATCACATTGCAAATAAGATTTTAAAAGTCAGAGGATTACACAGATTTAATGATGACCAGCTGAAGTTAAAATAATTTATAGATTTTTTTTTCTAACACACAATTGACCACTAATTATGTAAAGATAAGTCTGAAGTATCCATTTCTATGTTTTAAACTTAGAGACATTCATTTGTGATTTAGCTTTGAAACAAATTAGCTTGTCATCTACTTAACCAACAGTGTGGTATCTGGTTAACATACCAGAGCCATTCTTTGACCATGAAAGGTCAAAGGCAGGCTGTGGTTTCAAGAAGCTTACTGTTGTAATCTACTTAAGCAGATGTGTAGCAGTATCTTACTTGCTATATTATTTGTATTGATACCTTATTCCTTCCTTATTTGCGTTCTACAACTATTGTTACATGAAACCACTCACTTTCTATGATCAGCTTTTGTAAGCCAGTTGTGTGAAAAGAAAAACACAGCTAGTTGTGGCAAGGCATAAAGAAATTAACAAAGGTACATGAACTTAATCTCTTACGTATTTTACATTTAAAGGGTTTACAATAAAGTTAATTTATTTTTCCTGTTTCATACTGTAAATTTATGCAGTTCATGATCTCAAGATCTCAGAATGTCTCAAATTCTCAAGTTTTCGATACTTCAGAGGTAAATTTTGAAAATGTAGCTCCATATGTATAAAATATTAATAAAATTGTCTTAAAATTAAACTTCTGGTTAACTACAAAACTAGTAGTGTATCCATGCATAAGGTATTTTCTTGGAAAATTTAGAAACACTCATCTCATGCATTATCAGTTTTTCTTTTCTTAGCCCCTGTATTCTTACAATCAGGTTGCTGAAGCATGTTTGCAGACCTCTTCAGGAAGTTACTTGGAGTTTTTTCTTCCCTCTTTTTATCAGTTCCTTCAGAATGACAGGTTTGAGGTGATTCAGTCTGCAAAACAACAAGACAAACACTGGTAAAAATTCAGCTATTTCATTTTCTCAGGAGATTAATATCGAATCTTCTATATTAATCAGCTCTTTTAAATGTCCAATGGTCTTGTTTTTATTTTCAAATTTCTTCCAGTATGAGCCCCATCTGGAATAGGAAGGGCTGTTCTGTCAAGACCATAAAGAGTACCTGACGTGTCCGTGGACACGCTGGTGCCCGCTGAGCTTTTGCAGGCTGGAGAGCAGTTAGTTTGTGACGGGGGTTTTCAGCTTCTACTGCACAAGCCGACTGTGGAGCTAGTACTGACCACAGCAAGGTCATGAGAGCAGGGCGCCTCGTAACATCAGACATTAAAATGGAGTCTGCACATTCCAAAAGCTTGGAAACCCCTAGTCTATTTAAAAACTAGTCTAAATCCTTCCACTTAATACCTCTGCAGAACACAAAAGTAAGCTTTCTCTCTTCTATACCCAGATTCCAAGAACACTGACTCATCTCTTCTGTGTTCCACTGGACCCAGAAGAGTACTAAAGAAAAGCATGACACAGGCTTTAATGTCTTTTTCAAATAATTAAACATTGAAAATTAGTAATCACCCTGAAACAGTTCTGCATGGGCTTCTTTACTCTCATGGTAATAACGTGGGCCTCGCTGTTCAGAAGATTAGCTTTCGGTCCTACTTTCAAATATGAAATGGTAGCATAAGCTGTAAAACTGTAGTCCTCTCTGCAGGAGACAAAGGCCAACAGTCAGGCGTTGAGAAGTTGCAGACAACAAACAAATTTATAAAAAATAATTTTAATTAACATTGATATGAAATAAAACTTTTAGTATAAAAATGCAATAAAGTATTCTACTTTCCTGCTGCTTTGACATATGATAATTAAAAGTTTGAATTTGTTTACTAGGTAAATTTTATAGAGTGTTTAAAAGTTCCTATGAAACAACCACTAAACCATTTGTTCTGTTGCACTTATATAAAAATAAGAATCCAGAAAGACAGCATGAGAGGGCAAGAAATGGGTCTGTATATACTTGAGATACTGCTGTATGAGGAAGTGTGCAATGATTTTCTCCAGGTCTTCACGAGGAAGTGTGGGGGGAGCAAGGCCTGCCACTCTCAATTTCGAGGCACCCTTTCCCATCCAAGAGTCAATCAGTTTTAGTGGAGTGAGCTTTTCATTCAGGTCCTCGGCCTGTTTCAGGATCTTAATAAGATCCCTGCAGTATGCAGTTACATTCTTTCTTTCAAATGCTGTAATGAAAGAGACATGGTTAAAGATGAATGAGATTTTGAAATTAGGGCAAGGATAGGCTGTCCTAAGTGGTTAGACTCGTTTAAAAAATAAGTCATCCAATGTGGGCCACCCTAAACACTGGTTTGTTCCTATGTTCTGAATTAAGACTATTGCTCAAGTCTCTTTTCATTAGATTAAGGTACAGTCTAAGACATGAATTTAAATGATATAAAAAAAAATAATCTGTTTATTTGGAAGGTCTTTGGAGATGCTCTCGGAACCAAAAGGTATCAGCCAGACATGATTATGACAAAGACTTAGAGGTGTTTATAGAGGGTAAGTCTCTTCTACATATTTACCAGGTTTAGACTACCATATTCAGTCAATCTGTTCTTCATTGCTTCATATTTAATGATGCATGCTCATTAAGCAATATTCTGACAACCAGTGTGGCTTCCTAGGGACCCTAATTTCTGGACAGTTATTCCCATCTATTGACACAAGCACTCAAACGTATTTATCAGACTGTTGTTAATTTGGTCAGTATGAAACGGTCTAGTAAACACAAATAATTTTCTCTACCTGCAAAGTTTAAATTGTTGTGACCTTCCCCAACCAAGGCATCAGAACTCAGGAATGGGTTAGTCTAGCTCATCAAACAATATGCATATATACAGAATTTTTAAAAGTGAAAATACAGCGCCAGCACTACTAAACTAGTGTCTTAAAAGTGATTGAATATTACCTGGATCAAAAATGATACACTATAATCTCTATTTTGTACTAAATTTCTCTCTTCAATCAGTGACTATACAGCACTGGAGATTATTACAAGAGGTCAGCATTCTCATATATAAATAGTATTTCTAATCAGGGATTTTAAATGTTTCCCTTCATTTCCTAAAAATTTAACATCTCAGTGTAGCAATATAAAATACATGCATACACATATAGCTTTTATTTGTACTTGTTTTAAAACTGTGTTACTCCTCTCAAATCTGAGAAATTCTATTCACACCTGGCTAATTCTTTTAAATCCATTTTGGGTGTCTAATACTGCCCTCAGGCAGTCCTAGCTATAAACATTAGCTTACAGAAATCTGAAAAGGACAACTCACAAGTCTCTTTACAGCAGTTATCACACATTTTGTTACATGCTTCTGGACTCCACACTTCATCAAAATGTTGAGCTATCAATACACGGCGACATCTGCAAACACATTAGAGGTATGAATTATCCCCGTTTCAAAATGCAGGGTTATATACTGTTACTAGTTTCCTGTTTCTGCCGTAACATTAACATAAACTTGGTGGCTTAAAACAACGCAGATAATCTTACATTTTTATAGGTTAGAAGGCTGACATGGGTCTCACTGGGTTAAAATCAACGAAAGCAAGGTGTTGGCAGGGCTGGATTTCTCCAAGCGGTTCTAGGGAAGAATCTGTTTCCTTGCCCTTTCCAGATTCTGAAGACTGCCTGCACTTCTTGGCTCATGGCCCCCTTTCCTCTATCTTCAAAGCTAACAATGGGTTAAGTTTTCACATCACTCTGACATCTTATTCCTCCTTCTATGTTTAAGAACCCTTGTGATTATAGTGAGTCCACCCAAATAATTCAGAATCATCTCCCTATCTTAAGATCAGCTGACTACAACTTTAAATCCATTTGTAACTTTAACTCCCTTTTGCCATGTAAAGTAGCATACTCACCGGTTCTAGAGATTCAGATGTGGACATCTTTGGAAGACTACTACTCTGCCCACCATATGTAGTAATTTTTTCCATATGTTGTTAGTGTAAAAATAACTTCTATGCACTGGGAAACCAAAGATTCACATCACTAGCTTTATTACAATTTTCACTTTACTGCAGTGGTCTCAAACTCAAACTGCAATATCTCCAAGGTATACTTGTATTAGAGAATCTTCCTGATAGCAAAGTAGTTTCCTGTATTTCATAATATGATTTTGAGTCTAAGTCCCAAAATTTGCTTCATGAGGCCTATTGGATATCTAAGGACATTTTCATTTTCTCATTTTTTAAACTTGCTGTAGCATTAATAGGAAAGAAATACCATTTTTTATCACTGCTGCTGCTGCTAAGTCGCTTCAGTCATGTCCAACTCTGTGCGACCCCACAGATGGCAGCCCACCAGGCTCCCGTCCCTGGGATTCTCCAGGCAAGAACACGAGTGGGCTGCCATTCCTTCTCCATTACTATCACTAATTACTGTTTACTTAAAAATTTTTGAGTCCTTATAATATGATGGGCAGTAAGACTACAAAGATGACTAAGAGTAAAAATAGTAATTGTGAGGGAAGAATACAAATGCAAGATTGTTAAAATGCATTTGAAATTAAGAGAGTAGCAACTTACATCATCATGTATATAGAGAAATTGGTATATATAAACTTCATGGTAACCACAAATCAGAATTCTATTATAGAAACCCACACAATAAAGAAAAAGGAACTCAAACACGAAATCCATCAAACCACAAGAGAATAAAAGAAGGAACAAAAAAGGTCTACAAAACCACCTCAAAACAATGAAATGGCAGTAAGTACATACCTATCAACAATTCCATTAACTTTAAATGGACTAAATGCTCCAACCAAAAGACATAAAGTGGCTGAATGGATGCAAAATCAAGACCTGCATATATGCTGCCTACGAGAGCCTCAGCTCTGAAGACACACACAGACTGAAAGTGAGGGGCTGGCGAAACCATGCAAATGGAAATCAAAAGAAGCCAAGGTAGCAACACTCATATCAGACAAGGAAGTGAAAGTGAAAGCTGCT